CCGCCCCCCAACGGCCACCGCCACCACCCACCCCCAACAGCCAGCACCACCACACACACCCCCAACAGTCACCACCACATACAGAATCACAGAGAATCACATTAAGATTAAGATTGGAAGGGACCTCTAGAGATCAGCTAGTCCAACCCCACTGCTCCAGCGGGGGCAGCTAGAGCATGGGGCACAGGGCSGCATCCAGGCGAGTTTGGAAGATGTCCAGAGAAGGAGACTCCAACACCCACTACCACACACCTCCAACAACCACCATCACCACCCTCCCACCCCCATCAGTCACCACCACATACCCCCCAACACCCGCTACTACACTCCCAACAACCACCACCACACACACACAGCCCAACAACCACCACCACCCACAAAGACACCACCACACACCCCAACAACCACCACCACACCGCCAACAGCCATCACCACACACACCTCCCAGAGGCTCCCACCATCATACACACACCAGCCACCACCACAACCCCCTCCCCACAACAACTCCCACCACTACGCACACCCCCCAATAGTCACCACCACACACCCACACCACACATTGGGATAGTCACCCCAATGGCTCCCAACAGTCCTCCTTCCAACAACTGCCCCCCCTTCACACCCACACACCCACACCACACATTGGGATAGTCACCCCAATGGTTCCAAACAGTCCTTCCAACGACTGCCCCCCACCAAACACACACACACACACACACACACACACACACACGGGCAGAGCTCCATGGTTCACATCCAGCCACTGACCACCACCAGACATGGTCCTTCCAGTGCTATGGTGTTTACACACAGCCCCCAGGGCTGCTATGCCCTAACCCTCCCTGTTTTGCACACCCTCACACAGACACCCCACGCCAGCACAGACCCTTYCACTCTCCATCCCTAGGCCGCAAGCCACAGAATCACAGAATCACAGAATGGTTGAGGTTGGAAGAGACCATCTCTAGAGATCATCTAGCCCAACCTCCTGCTCCAGCAGGAACACCTAGAGCATGCGGCACAGGGTGGCATCCAGGCAAGCCCTACCCCTTGTACACATGGGTACATCCCACTTGGCACCTGCCCCCCACTGGCACTGCCTACAGTCCCACATACACCTAAAAATAGATGTGGAAATAGTACGTGTGCAGCACAGCGCACGCACCGGTTTTGGCACGCGGGTGCCTGGGCATGGATGAGCTGGGCCCGGCGGCGCAGGGSTCTGCCAGGCTCCTGCTGCGTGCGGCGCCCGCAGCTGCTGCAAAGGGCACACCCGTGTATCCACCTGCATGCCCCGACACACAGGCCTGGGCATGCATGCACGCGCCAGGGGCATGCCCCCTGCCCTGGTCATTTTGGGAAAGGTATCCTTCCCCAAGGGCTCCGAAGTCAGTGCAATCCTGCCCGCACCACGTGAAGAGAGACCATTCTGCGCCTCCTGTAAGGGCCTCCTCAGGGGATTTCAGTGCTGCTCTTGCCTCTCACACCAGTTTAAAAATCAGAGCATGCACATTAGCCTCCAGCATAGCATGCACATGTTGCCCGCTTTGGTGGTGCTGGAGGGCAGTGCCAGAACTGCTGACTTCAATATGGACATGCACTGCGTCCTGCGTGCTAGTGTGTTAGGTACTCTAGCACGTTATTCTGTTTCTCTCTTCTTCCTCCCTCTTCCTGCCCTGTTCTCCTTTCTTGTCCTCAAGGTAATCATTTGACCTGTGCTCGGAGGCACTGTGTTCTTCCCGCAGCTGATTGCCTCCCCGCTCCTACACTGCAGGACAGTCAGTCTTATCAACACATCTTCAGGCTGCAGTAATCCAGTTGAGATAATGCAAGAGCACTTTTGTCAGGGAAAATCAAAAGTAAAAAGCATTCCCCCTTCTGTGCTCCACATCATGACAAATGGACCGATATCCAATATGTGGATGAATCTACCAAAATACATTTCTGAAATGCATTTCTTTAGTCTCAACATATGAACCTGCTTGGGAGTTTTGCTTAAAAAGATAAACAATATACCAAAAAAAAAAAAAGAAAAAAAGAAAGGAAAAGGAAAAGAAAAAGGAAAAGGAAAAGGAAAAGGAAAAGAAAAAAAAAAAAAAAAAGAAAAAAAGAAAGGAAAAGGAAAAGGAAAAGGAAAAGGAAAAGGAAAAGGAAAAGGAAAAGGAAAAGGAAAAGGAAAAGGAAAAGGAAAAGGAAAAGGAAAAAACAGTGAAATATTTCCAAGTTAAAATCTGTTACAAAGAAGTATGACCTGTGGTTTGGAACAGGAACTTTTACTGTTACTGTTTTTAGCATTCTGTCTTGGGATACCCTGGAAGACATTAATCTTCTGAAAATTCCTGACTCAAAGAGAAGGCAAGTTTCCAGGTCTTCAGAAAAAGAACATTTGTCTCACTGACTGATTGCATCTGCACAGAAAGGCCTATTGAGCTTCAAGGCTGGCTATGAGAAGTGAGTCTCACTCAGAAATTTCATTGACTGTATTAGATTTCTTTCATACAAAGGACTCCGAAATGTCACGAGTCAGATATCGAGAATAATTTGGAGGATATTATGATATTAAATTAGTGTATAGAGTGTAGAAGCTCAGTAATGACAGGACATATTACAGTGCATTTCTTCCCACAACACTAATTTCTGTGATCTCCTACTTGACKACAGCTTCAGGTTCAGAGCCACTTAGACTCCAGAGCCATCTCCAACCTGTTTTTAGAAGTATAGCTAAGGGATTCCTGCCAGCCCTTCGGCAATATAATCTGGTCTAGGCTTTGCTTAARCTTTAGGACTTGTTCCTCCCCTATCCCTCTGCCACCAACTTGTTCTCTGACCTCTCTGCCCTTGGCCTTTTTTCTTTTGTCAATTTAACTTCAAAGCCACTTGGGCAAAATGGTGAACGCCGCTTGTGAGAGAGCTAAGCCTTTAGTCACAGGTCTTGTAAAGGCAGATGGACAGGGGGCCGAGCCTTCAAATATATGATACGCAGAATATGAGACGTGATGTCCCACTGACATCCACACAGCTAAGGGAGCCAGACTACCTGGGTTTGCAGGATCATGACAGGATCTCACTCTGCTTCTATTAAGGGGGAGCAACCCCCATTAAATAGATTGGTTGCCGGTCAGTGCCATAAAGTCTTWTCTTCTGCAATGTATAAACTTTTTCTTTGCCAATGACAATTATCAAATGTAGTGAAAACAGTCCTGCAAATACTTATATACATGAAACATATTGAACACAGAGCTTAACTGTTACTGACATGAATAGTTCCATTCCTATATCAGAATTTTATACAGAATCAAGTACAATAAAATTCTCATTAACTCGGTAAATACTCATCATGGAAATAATTAAATATAGATATTTGATTTGGCATCACAGCATATTTTTAGGCATGCATTTTAGCAATTGTATTCTAATTTCCGTAATGACATCACACTTAATATTAGTTTTGTATCATATTTGAGAAAACTACAGAGCTTTGCTGAGTTGAGATATCAGAATGCAAAATCCTATCAGCAAATCTTTCCTGCAAAGAATAAGGACACAGAGCTTTGAGGAGAATTCTTGCTGTGGATATGGGCACACATTGATTAATAGTTTAGGAATTGTTTATAGTGACAAAATGCAGAATCATGCATGGACACATTCAAAAGAATATATTCATCACATAGCCAAGAAGATTTTAGCACCTGTGATACTTCAGCGCTTAGTTTGTTGAAGGCATCACCCTGAGAATGCCTCACAGCCAGAGCAGGATGCCTTTGTAACCCTCGTGCCTGCAGGGCTGGGCATTATATTAGGGTCAGAATTATTCTGTTTTCTCTCTCCTCTTTAGATCCCTCTTCTATTATTTTACTTAGCCTACTCATGCTAATGCCTTCCTCCTGTACTGGYGCCTACAGATGTTCCTGCCCAACTTGTCTTTCTAGCAGTTTGCAAGTTATTACCGATTTACACATTTAATTGCCCGTGTATCCCCATGGCTTGAGTGAACCGCAGATGCCGGGAGGCGCCGGTGGCTGGAGCACTGGGTAGCGCCGGGATGAGGCAGGGCAGGCTCCAAGGCCTCCTCCAAATCTGTCCTCAGCACCTCTGCTCCCACAGSTATCTTGAGCTTCTGCTGTCAATCCTGTTGCGGAGGGGCTCCAGCTCGGAGGAGGGGCACTCCGGATACACTGCAGCATTCCGATGTCCAAGGRCTGGTCAGAATCATAGAATCATTATGGTTGGAAAAGCCCTTCAAGATCAAGCCCAACATAAACCCACCCTCCCTGCTTARCCACGTCCCCAAGGCCTCATCTCCACGTTTCTTCAACGCTGCCAGGGACGGTGACTCCACTGCTTCCCTGGGCAGCCTGCTCCAATGCTTGGCTA